GGCCCCGCAAGCCCCGCGCTGCCCGGCCCCGCCGTCCCGGGGCGCTGCCCCCCCGGGGCACAGCCCGGCCCCGCTGCGTTTGCCGGTGCAGCAGAGCTTTTCTGCTCGAGCCCCGCTTGTGCATTGGCTGACTTTGTGCAGCTCCCGGCGGGAGTGCAGCCCGTGGCTCCAGGCTTCTGCGTCGTTCGCTTTGTTCTCACTCTTCTTTTGACTAAAAGAATCCCCTGTAAGGTGACATCGCCTCCCTGGGGGGGCCTGAGCTCTGTGTGAGTCCGTGCGTGGGAGCTGGAGCTCAGCTCTGCCTCTCTCCCCCGCAGACCATCGTGATGAACGACTGCATCATCCGCGGGGACCTGGCCAACGTGCGGGTGGGCCGGCACTGCGTGGTGAAGAGCCGCAGCGTCATCCGGCCCCCCTTCAAGAAGTTCAGCAAAGGGTAGGGGCTCCCCTGCCTCTGGGGGCACTGCAGCTGAGAGCTGTGAACCTAAACAAATATATTGGTTGGGCTGCGATCTGTGTTTAGGGGCCACGTGCCTTCTGCAGAAACGTGTCCCTCCAAACCTGCCTTTTCCTCAGCTTTCCCTTGAGGGTTAGTGTTCCCACACTGTGGAAAAGCTGGAGATGTTCATATATCCATAAAGTATGAAGAGTTTGTTTCGCTTGTTCTCTGTTCATTCTCACCGTCCTCCTGCAGCTCGCTCAGGCTGCCCTGCAGAGGGAGAGGAGAGCAGACCAGTTGTGTGATCCTCCCTGCCATCAGATCTGCCTCTGGCCATGCAGCTGCAAACGGGCTGTGGTGCTGCGGGTCAGTGGGCCTGTTGTGCCCCTCAGCAATCGCTCTTCTCTCCCAGGGTGGCATTTTTCCCTCTGCACATCGGGGATCACGTCTTCATAGAGGAGGATTGTGTTGTCAACGCGGCCCAGATCGGCTCCTACGTCCACATCGGCAAGAACTGCGTCATCGTGAGTGCTGCTCCTCTGCCCTGGGCACTGCTGGCTGCCCCAGCCTCCTGCTGCTCCCTCCTCCACAGGCTGGGCTGCTTTCAGTCTGGCCATTCTGAGGACAGCAGGTTCAGCTGTTTGGGAAAACATCCCAACAATACAGTGGCAGATGGGACGGTCCGGGGAAGGCAGCCTTCCCACAGAGAATGAGCAGAACTGGGTTTCTGCTGAAAAAACACCAAACAGTCAAGGCTGCTGCCTGCTGAGTTAGTGGCCTTGCTGCCTTAATGTGTGACTCAGGCTGCAGCCTGCACACTGATGTGTTAAGATCCACATGCACGAGTTAGTCGAGAGCAAACAGACTTTTTCTCGTTCAAAAAGGAGAAAAGTGGGTTTTGTTGGGAAGGGCAGATTTATTCTCACACCCCCTCATACAGAACACATTCCCGGCACTTAAATGTGTTGAAGTTTAGGTAACTTACCAGGAATAAGCAAAAGCAGGTGGTGTTTTCAGTATAACCTGTACCTCTGCTGTGCTGTAGGGCCGCAGGTGTGTTTTGAAGGACTGCTGCAAGATCCTGGACAACACGGTGCTGCCCCCCGAGACCGTCGTGCCGCCCTTCACCGTCTTCTCGGGCTGCCCAGGTGCGCTCCCGGGAACTGCACCCCCCTGGGCCTGGAGGAGGGCACTTCTGTGCCTGAAAATGGGATTGCTCTGGCAAGGAAGCCTGTTGGCACTTAGTGCCCAAAGCTAAAGGCAGAGGGCACCAGGCGAGGGGAAAAGGAACAGATTGACCCTGTGGAGCTGGCTGCTCTGGCGTGTGTCAGGCAGGAGGGGTGTGTGCCCAGGGGGGACAATGGGAACAATCCCCTTGTGTTGCTGGATGTGGGAAGAGCTGTTTGCTCTTCTGTTAGGATTTACCTACAGGTTAATCCAAGTCACTGCTTTGGATGCTGAGTAGAAGCTTGTTTTTGCTTTCTCCTTCAAGGACACTGATGGTGACACTCTTGTTCTTCTTCCAGGACTCTTCTCTGGGGAACTCCCGGAATGCACCCAGGAGCTCATGATTGATGTTACAAAGAGCTATTACCAGAAGTTCTTGCCACTCACTCAGGTCTAGTAGCCCCTTTGCTGCGTTTCAGAGCAGTGCAGGCAGGCAGGAGTGTTGGGGGGCTGGGAGAGGGGTGTCAGTCCACAGGAGCAGGGCACAGGCCCCCACCATTCCCAGCACTCCTGAGGCTGTTCTCCACACCAGTGGCCTGGCCAAGCCGTCCCTTGGGAATGCTGCTGTGTCACGTTGGCTACACTTTGTGCACTCATTTGCATGTCATTCATTCCATGCTGTCTGAATCGTGTCATTCCATGTTCTGAGCAGGAAAGCCTTTCCCTCTGGGGCTGCCCTGGCTGCCGCTGGCAGCACGCGCCTGCAGCCAGGGCCTGGCACAGCAGTTCTGTTCCAGCCCAAAGCCAGCGGGTATCCAGGTGCTGGAAGCAGTCTCCATCCTAGAGCAGAAGTGCTGAGGGGTGTGTCACAGCCAGTTACCCAACAGGGTTCCTCAGAACCACTGCTTTCCTCCCCCAAAAAATTTGCTGCTCTGTGGGCCTGCGTGCTGAGGTGTGTGGCCTCTTCTGCCTGTGGACTGAGATTCTCTCCAGTGGGGACAGGATATCCTTCATCATCCCAGGATGGTCTTTAGGACTTGTGGCTGACAGTGAAGCCTGCCTGTGCTGACGGGGCTTTTCTTAGCCCTGAGCTCTCCAAGTAGAGCTCAGTGCTGTGATCAGTCCCATGCTGCCCCCACCAGCAGGGTTAGGGTACTCATAGCTGAGGTGTGTTCCACTACCTGAACACCACAGACCTTCAAGTGCTAAAGGGTTTTGGACAGAGGATCACTGAATCACTCAGATTTCAGTGCAGGAGGAAGTGGGGAATTAAAAGCAGGGATAGGAGGTGGATGAGAGAATGCTGCAGGTGTCCCCACTTGTTACTCCGTGTGTATATTTATAGCTCTTTGGTGCTTTTCTGCCTTATAAAACTTAAAAGGAGATTCAGACAAAGAGTGAAAAATTCATTTTGGACATGAATAGAGCAGGAACAGTTCCTGTTGGGAGCAGCTCTATGAAAGGTGGAGACAGCTGACCCTCTGTGTCCCTGCCTCAGCACCAGACCATTGTCCAAAGCGAAACTGCCCGCCCTGGGTGTGTTACATTAGAGCTCAACATCCTCCTGCTCTCACCTGGGGTCCTGCCTGTCATGGTGCAGCAGCTGGGGCCAGGACACAGGTTAGTTCTGCAGTAGGTGTGTGGCTGTGAGCCCACAGCCCTGGGCCTCAGCTGCTCTGTGCAGTGCAAAGTGCTGATCCAGCCCGAGCAGCAGCTGAGCGAGCCCTGGGTGTGCAGTGACTGTTCATCAGTGTGGAACCCCTGACTGCTGTGCTTGTGTTTTTACTGTACATAAATTAAAGCCTCTTCAGTTGTTCAAGTGACTCAAGGTTGTGACTCTTCAAATCAAACTTGAGCCTAGAGCGAGGGTTCTGCTGTGGCACATGATCCCCAGACTCTTGTTCTGTGACCATTATGGGCTGTACTGACTGTTACGGAGTCAGTGCATTAGAAAAGTGACCTACGGTGTGAAACAGCTTCTTTCTGCCTCTGAGGTAGGCAGAAAGAACCACACGTGGTTCCAGTGTTGCTGTTTTATGATGGCTCAGAGTGTCTTTGCCTTTATGCTTGGTGCTGAAGTGAGAATCCCAAAGTCACCAGGGTGGCTGTAAAGTCCTCTCCAGCAGGGACACCTGTTTGGTGCTGCAGCACATCTGGAAGCGTTACTTCAAGAGTGTGGGAATGCCCCACGTTTGGATCTAGCCATCCCAGAGGACGTGCCTCCTTTGGCACATGTACAAAGGAGCTGGAGCCAGCTCCTCACAGCAGGAGCATGGATGGGATGAGAGGGTGAGATGTTCCTGATGAAGCTGCAGCATCCAGGCTGGTGCTGCTGTGTCCCTCCTGCCCCCTCCTGGGGGGTGTCTGTGGGAAAGGCCATGGGGAAAGGCCACGGCTTGTTGCTTTTTGTAGCTGAGTGAAAAAGCACCAAGTGTCCCTTGCGTTTGCACTACAGGCAGCTCCCTGATGGCATCTTCCAAAAATGCTTGTTCCTGTTGTCTGTCCATGATTTGACTTGCCCTTGCAGAAGCCATTTGAAATGAGGGGCTGTAAGAGGCCTCCCCTGTTACAGGACCTGAGAGGTTTGGGGTTTATTGCAAGATTTCTGCCAGTCTGCTCTTCAGGTGTCCGTGCTGCCCTCACCCCCCTCACTCACCCTCAGCTGTCCCTGGAAGTGAGGGAAGCTGTGTGTGCTGTGTGCCTTGTGTCCCTGCACCGCTCCCACCCCACACAGCAGTGCCACCAGGATTGCTTGGGGATGGGCTGCTGGTGTGGGAGGGGGTGGGAAAGGGCAGCTGCCACGTTCAGGGGTGTGAGGAGTGGGGTGGCAGCTGGAGAGGCTGGCTTGGTGCCTTCCCAAGGCCACGGGAGCAGCAGGGCTGTGGTGCATGCAGGGGTTTGTCACAGCACAGCCTGGCCTGCTCTTCCCTCCAGCAGGCTGAGCCACCCTCCTGCCTTAATTATAACCTCTTTTATTGTCTCTTGTTAAGGTGGCCTCTGCCAAGGTCTAAAACCAAGTTGCCACTGAAGATCTCAAACCCTCAGCACTGTTAACATCCCCTCAATCTGGCCACTTTCTCCTCCTGTCCTCTGAAGCATCCTCTGGCCGGGGCTCCCTGCTCCACCTCTGCTGGCTCTGGGAAGATGGACTCTGGGTGGCCGGTGGCCACGGCGCTGCCACGGCCAGGGAGGGGCCAGGCTGGGCCCCCCAGCCCAGCACCAGCACCCAGGGCTGCCCGGGGGGCCGTGGGGGGGGAAGGGGGGAACCCCCTTCTGGAGGGGCTCTTGTACCAACAGCGATGGCTTAAACACCGAGCCCTGTTCCTGCGTCCTTGGTGCTGGCAGCTTTGCCCCGGGGGCTCCGGGAATGGGGTGCCCCCCGCAGGGTGCTGAGGGTCCCCGTGGGCCGGGCCCTGGGGACACAGTGGGCCCAGGGCGGGCCGGACACCAACAGGCCTCTGCACTCACTGGGCACAACAGACAAAAAACGACCGG